GGATAATATGATTCCATTGCGAGTTGAACGAATCAATTTTTTGTGTTTATGGAACTGGGAAGATTTCTCTTCATTTAAACGTTCAACTCGACGATTCGTTAAGTAAATTTTCTTCCTTCGCAATCAAACTTTTAAATTTTTCATTCAATGTTATTTGCAATTAGTTGGGACACGAGTTGACGACGCATGTGAAGATTATTTTGAAAATATCTCGAAAAAGAATCACTTTAGAATCCGTTTAGAACGTATGAAAGAATATAGTTTGGAAGTTTTATGGACTATGAAAAAAAAATTTGATGACTTCTTCTTGTAAACCTACTTATTTCAGAGATATTTACTAAATAATGTGTAACAAATTTTAGGAGTTTCACATAGGAAAACTTTTGGCCTTCTAGTTTTGTTTCCATTCGCCCCTCAATTTTGAAATGATGAACAAATAGGCAAAAGATTTTTTTCAGTTGTTAAAATTCTCTCCAACAAATCTCTTGATATTGTCGTCTAAACCCAATAGTTTCGTAAATATTGACAAAACAGTCTGTTGGAAATATCATAACAATTCCTATTTTGTTACAGAATCCTATCCCAATTAATTTTTCACCGAGAAAAACATAGTCTCGATAAAACTCGGATAATGAAATTTAATTACTCTTTTTATTCAATTAACTTTATTCATTTTATTTTTGATCGAGCCTCTGACGTCGATGGCACAGTGAATCGAGGGACCAATCAACATGAATTGATCAATTATTTTCACATTTCCATTTGAAATATTCTCTATGTACATTTTTTATTATCATCTAACCTTCGTTTATTACAATGCGATTCCTTGATGCACTGTCGAGCAATTCAATTTCAAGGAATCATTCGAATGTTATTCTTTATTCAATCAAGTAATTGATGGAATACGTAACGACGAGTAATCCCGAGTGGCTGTCGTCGATGGAGGTGTGTTCAATAAATCTATGGTTTCATTTATTCATCTCATTTAACTTGCAGATTTAGTTTACCGACTCATCAAGTTGAATTTATAATCTTTGCGGTTTTAGTTATTTGCTATTTTTACACGTGAAGATACAGCAAACAATATTGAGGTTTTTCGAGCGGATTAATGGTAATAATAATGGATGACCTATTCCACCAAATATGCACATGAAATGGGAATAAAAAATGCAACAAAATGTGCCCAATTTGAGATTTTTATAGCCGGAATTGGCAGAAATACCCTCAATGTCCCATTTGCTGCCATCCTCAGCGATTTTTTAATGGATCGAATTCAAAATCTATCGCCGTAGAATAAACGAATCATTTTAGTGCAAAGAAAATTTTCTATTCCTCTGTGATGTCTAGAGTTGATAAATCAAATTAAACAAAAAGTTGTTTTCTCTTCAGATTCATAATTTTCGAGATTGTTCTAGGAATACGCGAGTCTATTTTTAGGTGAAAATCGAGGCACCTTGTTGTCAAGTGCCATGTAGATAGCATAAACTGAATTTATCCAATTACATATTTCTGAAAAAAAATCATTTTGGAATGAAAAATTGTTGTTAAGAGAAATTATCTATCATTTGTTATCTCAATAATCTCGATAATAATGGGGATAAATGTGGAACGAAGATTTTTATCATAAATTTGCTTTAAAAAATATTTTCCTAACACTTTTTGCTGAAAAGAATGTGACAGGAAAATATTAAAAGACGTTCTTTTCTTAGTCTTTCGACGCTATCCCCTCAAGTCACATAACATGATTTGGAAGAAAAGAATTATATTAGAAGCGTTAAGCGGCCGTCGTCAATTCATAATCAAGATTTTGTTCAGTCGTGCGATCTCGTGAAATTACCGACTTAAAAATTAATTTTTTTTCCAAACATTTTCAATTTTTAGACGAATTTCAAAATTAAAAAAAAATTTCTCTGAATATTTTCAAATATTTTAAATATCAAACGCTACTTGTGGGCAAATGTTTTGAGATTCAAAGTTGTAATTGATGGCATCGAAAAGATAAGGAAATTCAGTCCTATATCAATGAAAACTACGACCTGTTTCGCCCCAATAGTAGTTTTCGAACACTCTCCATTTAATGGAATTAATTTTAGTAATGTTTCGCAAAAACTTTCGGTAAAACGGTATTTTTTTTCAGTTCCTGCCTTGCTTTTCCGAGGAAAAACTTGCAATAAAAAAACATCCTTGAATTCAGAATTATTTTCTAAATAAAAAAAATAGTTTTCGAGTTTTTTACACCGATGTTTGGTGGAATGGCCTCAGTAACAATAACAATAATATCCCGTGTATTTATTTCACGACTTCTCAAAATGTTCGCACGCTGGAGACATCAGAATAGAATTTAATGCTCGGAGAGTTAAAATATCATGAATTAATTCACGAGAACTTACATCGACGTTTAAACGTCTTATTTCATACGCGTAAAGTTAGACATTTTGCTTCGGAAAATATTGGCAGTACGGTAGTAAATTGAAAGACTCATTACGTGTTTTTCTTTGTTAAATTATTTATTATTTATTCTTCTCATGTCCCCGAAAACGACAAACTGAACGCCCACTTGAAATCGGATTCCGTTTTATCAATTTCTTCACACTCTCTTTTCCTCTATACTTTCACACGACGAATCAATCATCCATTCGCACGCGGGTGGAATTCCATTTTATTGTTTCAGTTTTATTCCATTACGTTGAATTTATTAATTTCATTTTGTTTCCTATTACTCAAGGTTTTTTGGTTTATCCCTTTACACACGTCTACAATCACAACACCGAGAGAAATATCTACATAATCGTAAATCGTTCGTGGCGGTTTTGCAATACAGCTAATAATTGCACGAAATCCGCCAGCAGCTCGATTTGTTCATAAAAAAAAGACTTACTCATTGTTTTTAATGGAATGTGGTGTAAACTATTTGGTGTGAGTTGGGTCATGTATTTCGTCTTGCTCCCAACAATATTTATTCATATCGTTTTGAAAATATCTCGGAAGAGAAGGGATTAGCCAGAGAATGGGAAAAAACCTTTTTTACAGTTCACGAAATTCAAAAAAAAAGAATTTTTTTATGAATTTCTCAAAGGATTTGCGAAAAAATCCCAAATATTCTCAATAAAATTTTATATTAAGTTGCAATTTCATATGAATTATTTTAGAATTATTTCGAAAACTAAAACAGTTACCAAGAAATGTCAAAGGATTTTTTTTACAAGAAATACACTTTGATCCATTTCCTTTCATCTCCTATTCAAAATAAATTTCAAATTTATTTCAATTCTTTTAAATTAAATACAACATCAATTTGACAAATTTTTCGCAAGTTATTCTCAATAACTTTCGCAAGTTATAAATAAAAATTAATGAAAGAATTTAATTTCAAAAATATTTCATATAAATTCAGAACATTTACTGTACATTATTTGCAATCTCTCCGAAAACTATTGGATCCACAGAAAGGTCTTTTGATTCATTTCTTCAATCCTCTCAATTCCAAAGATATTAACAGAAGTCTAAATTTATTTCTCCTCTTCAATATAATTTTCCCCCTTGTCTGTTCATTTTTTTTCCTTAAAGTGGCAATGACAGTGAAACACTTGACCCGAAAAACCATCAAAAATGTTGAAAAAGAAGGTAAAAAAATCCGAGTGGAAGAGACCAGAAGGGACGAAAACTCCGTAAATTTCGCTCCACTAAATTCGCGAATCATCCAGAAAAGTATAGAAGCAACAAGTTGATTTGAGAGGGCGCCACTCTAGCTGAGCTATACCCTCTCCATCCCCCAACCGATCTCTCCCAGTCATTTTCACATCTATATATAAACCTACCCACCCACAATATCGGCTTTTGTCTCACAGGCTTATCGCGAGGTACTTGGAGCACGTTATAACTCTTGCACTAACGTTTAATTATTTCCTATATCGACAATTTACTATTGATTCAGGGCACCTAGACGTGGACGCTTCTCACATTTTCATTACTAGTTATTTATTGGATTTTGACAATTTTCTTATTTCTAAATTCGAACGATCCTTTCAACATTATTAATTTCCTTTTTATTAATTCAGTCGTGGAATGATAAAACTTGACAAGTTTTTCGTTAACATTTTCCGAATGTCGACAAATATTGAACAATCTCGAAAATGGGTGATTAGGACATGAAGTTTCGAAATCCCCACTGGCAGAAAAAATTAACTTTATCAAGAGAATTTTATTTGAATCAACTATCATTTGGTTGTCAATTTTCAAATAAACATGATCTCATGGTGAATACCAGTTATTTCTTTTTGAGATACATTTGATTGGGAGAATTATCGAAATTCTTTAGAATTAAAATTCCCTTCATTTGTCGCAATAATGAGAGTATTTGATTTCTTTCTAGCCAAAAGTTTGCCAACTCCAGAAATTCGTTGGTTTACCCAAAAATCAAAATTATTCTCATGACTAAATACGTTGTTACCTCAATCAATACGATCATACGTTGTTCCAAGTAAACTATAACTGAAGTGAGCATTTCGTACGTCGAATGAAGATGAATATTGTTACGTGGAAAAAGTTTTGAGGTTGTAGTAAGATGTCGTTGAGTTGGAAGAAGTTTATATTTCTTGACTAAAAAAATCGCATTAGTTTACAATAACAGAATCACTGATTACGGCAATTCAACACAACCTTGGATATCACAAATTTCGTTCAATGTGATGTACGGAAAGCTCAATTTAAACATCGACTTCATTCGAGAAAACAACATTCAATTCATTCCTCGATGTAATCATCTCCTAGCTACTAATTTTTGATCAATTCATGATAGTAGAACATTTCTCGACTGGTGATTATGTATTTAAAAAAAACAGAACTTTCCCATTTTTGTGGTGAATAGGTACATGTAACTTGACGCTAAGGACTGTTTTATTTGATTTAAGTAAATGTATCTCAAGAAGAAATAATTGACATTCACTGTAGGATCTTATTTATTTGAAATTGATTCAAGTATATAACTTTTGTTACACGAAAGGAGCATCTCCATAACAATAATATTTTCTATCGTAGTTTCTCAATCCAATTCTATTGGATATGAAAAAAGTCTTTCGCATTAATTCAAATTTCAGTTTGATATGACAACGAAAATGCGTAAGAGTGCAATTTTGCCCTAAATTAACTCACCGAGGTGATTACACAATTAACAAAAATGATATTTACAACTCATTGCGTTCTACCACTCCACCAATCAATTAATTAAACTAATTATTCACCCGGACACTCTTCAATTCTTTCTCACTAAATCCCACATCCAGAGTTTAATCTCACTGGACAATTTTTGGCTTCTCCCTTTAATCATTGGAATTATTTAGAATTCATTCATATTCCTAATTTCATATTTTAATTAAATACTTTTTCTTCATTTCTTGAATCACTTTTTCCCTCCTTTTTACAATACTTTAATCGTTTTATTTGTAACGAGTGCGTCTGGCTCGACGGATAATTACATGAAAATTACAGGTTTAATTAATTAACTGAGTAATTAATTAAACAATTAGTTGCTAAGTATGACACTAGTTTCTTCATTACAAGATTATTTACAAAAGAAATCACGTCACCTAGATCATCGGCAAGTTTCTGTTATTCGTTAAGAATTGATTAATTTGTTTTATTTATTCAATTTAATTGTGATCGACATCGCATTGAGATTGGCGTTGAGAACGCACTTGAAACTATGATCAAATATTTCAAATTTATTCATTAGAATCCGCAGTATTGTGGCAATGATTGCATGCCAGATGTTTTTGTCGTCTGAAAGAACGAGGGTATTTTTAATTTAATTATTATTATTAATCAAGCGAATACAAATGAATTTTTCATCACCCTATCCCACGTTTTCTTCTAATTATTCGAGATAATTACGACGTTATCTATGGTAGGTTGGATAAAACCGTATTAGGCTAATCGTTTTTATCAATTTCGAATGTTGTATCGATGGGGATGATCTCTTGGGACTTCGTAGAGCCCAGTTTCCACACTAATGATAGTCTGGCTGCGGTGAGGGGTCCAGCTGTGACGTAATGACGACGATTATCCATCGTTAATGTTCCTAATGGAGAAATTATTATTTCCAGATTTTTTCGATTAAATCCTGATTTCAGGACTGTAGCGAGCCTCGATCTGTTGGGATTTATATTGAGGGAGGTGGATTGTGACACATGATGGATTTAACTTCAGAACACATGAATTTTTGCAGAATATCTAAAAAAATCCTCTCCAAACAAAGTCTTTATAGAAATTTCACCATCTTGCACGGATTTTCAAATCTCCATTGAAAAGACCCCTCGAAGAAACTAAATTCTTCTCGTTCCACCACTCCACCACTGCACAAATAGATGAATATTTGATCAATTGATGATAATCAATCATTACATCCAATATCCGTTTGTTTACAAATATTCAAAATGCTTCCATTCAATTATTCGCGACTGCCAACATCTAATCCATCATCACAGTTGATAGAATCAATATCTCCTAAATCGAAAAACTCATAATTGAATTTCCAGATAGATACAAAGTGAAATGAACAGGTAATGGGAATCGGGAAGTGCCACTCCGCAAAAGCCTCTTACACCCGCTGGAACGAGTGCCTCTGCTCGACAAAATGTAAATCAATCACTCAAATCGGCCTAGCTCAAGTAGAAAAGCCACTCCATCGATCAGACTACATTAAAACTCCCTCAAATTTTAATTCGAAACCTGACGACCTATCGAACAAAAAAATAGAGCTCCATTCACCGAACATAAATGTCCCTTTAAAAAGTAGAAAATGTATTATTGATCAGACGTAGGAGAACTGGTGCCTGTACCGCTCAGCGGGTAATATCGCCCACCCGTATTTCTCAGGATTGACGGAGATCATTTTTTTTCTTTTTTTATTATGCAAATATTTGATAACACCAAGTAATGTCAACAAAAATTTTCAGTTTTCTCCCGTGAAAACATCGTTAAAAAAATTCAAATCATTTCCTACCGAATTTTTAAAATGTTTTGACCCCAGAATTTCAGATTTTTCAAATTTTCAGTTGGCCCATAATTGAATAGAGTGCGAAATATATGTTCGTTATACATTTCCCGAGGGGCTGGTCACTTACAAAATCACTGGATCACTAGACTGGAAATCAAGGAACAAATCACCAGAAATCAATGGAAATCACGGGAAATCCAGTGATTCCCATTTTCGGTAGTGATTTCTCAAGATTTCTGAAAATCAATAGAAATCATAAAGAAATCAGGTGATTTCCGAAATCATTAGAAATTATAGATAAGTGTAAAATCAAAATTGATTTTGCAGCTTCAAGTCTACAATTTTTGTTATGTTACCGGTGCGTTTGAAATCATCCAATTCCTAAAAGTGACGCTATGAAGTTTTTGACATCCTTACGTATTGTAACGTCATGTAGAAAACTGTCATTATCGACAGATGCCCCCACTCTGGTCCCCAAATCAGCATTTCTAATGATTCTAATTGATTTCTAATGGTTTTGGTTTTCAAGAAATCATTAGAATCTACGAAAAATCATGAAAATTATCAGAAATCAAATGAGAACATGAGAACTAAGTGAATATGCTGCAAAATATCCCAAGATAAACTAAGATAAAAATCATTACCTGCTCTCAGGACTTGTCAATTATAATTAACACGAGCATGAATGATAAACCATCACAAACAGAAATAAAAGGCTTCCGAATAAATATAATTACTATGACATCATTATTTATTTAATATTTAAAAAGCGTTCGAAATATTCAGTCAAATATTCAATGATTAGCACTCAATAACCTAACACTTGTACAGAGAGTATGGACGCGTCTTCTAACACATTCACTTGAGTTTCTAATGTTAATATCATGAGATATTCGTCACATTTACAGTCAGATCGTCGTAATCTTCACCAGAAATATAATTAAACTACAAAAATATACTGATCGATTAAAGGTCTCATTAATTCAATAAATACATGTAACAATGGCTCTCAATCCTTATCCACAAATTCGTTATAATTCTTGAGAAACGAAATGATTGACCGTTTGGCTTGAGGGTCGGAAGGCAAGAGACCCGAAATTCGGGACCGAGGTGTCAGCTACTCACTGAGTGATCTTGCGCGGCTATCTCCAAAAGCCTGAACCTCGTCATGCTATTAATCGGGATTATTTCAAATTCATAGAATCATTACAACCCTTAAATTTCGATTCCATCGCTCACTGGCCGATAGGAATTGAATTACTTAATTAAATATGTTTAATGTTAATAAAAAATCTGTCCTCTTCACATCTTTGAGTAAACATCTCGAAGAACCCATTCTAACCGTTGATGACTGCTTGTACAGAGCAGGGCTGGCAAAACCGACTCATTTCCCTTAGGTGGGCGGTACATGCACCAGCTCCCCTATCAGAGGTAGAAACCTAAATTCCAAAATTTGAATTTTAAATCTTCTCCTGCAAAAAGATAAAAAAAACTCCTCTTCTCGTCTCTTTCTCTCTTCCATCCTCTCATGAATATCTCTAGTTAAAATTCGCGAATTCATTAATATCACAGAGGTACAATTTTTCCGACATTTTCCCCTCCCGAAAAACGGAAACAGAGATAGTGACAAAATACAGAAGCATCAGAGTCAGCCTGTGATTCGTCCTATCTACTTCACCCCCATGATCGATAAACACAACCGCATTGTTTCAAACTATTCCCTGCAAAACAGAGTCGCGAGTGTTGGCCCTCGTAAGCAATTCCAAATGCCTCTCACTATATCTCTCTGGCTCCATTCTCCCTTCATTCCACATCCGGCATCCAGAAACACCTTCGCCATGGTTTTTAGAGACAATGGACCCACTTTACATCGTCCCTGGAGCTCTGAATAAATGCGTCGCATTTTGTGTTCTGTTTTTTTTTTTTTCGTCGAAAATACAAGGACTACCGACTACACCTTCTGGGCCCATCTCCATTCTATCTTCACCCAAAAAGAAAATAACTAAATTTAAGATTTTAAAGGTTTAGAAATTAGATTTTTAAAGGTTTAATTTGAATTTGATCCAAGTATCTTTTACGGTTTCGTACAGGTGACACAGTTGATTCGACTATTTTCTATTTTATTTTATCGGCAGAAGTGGTACTTTACTCACGGATATAACAAGTACTTGGGATAAGTATTTTTCGAAATTTTCACAAGTGAAAAGTACCTTTAAGTACCGGTCGGTACTGGTGAAAAGTACATTTTTCATTGGGTGTATCAAGAAAATCGTCGTTGTCAAAAGTAATTTGCTGTCTCAGTGGACGAACAAACGTCAGAAACATGTCGTGACGCTGCACTTTCCACCAGAAATTGTCTTGACCTTCGACGGAGACCAGCATCACTCCTCCATCATCAATTATCATCAGGTTCTACTTCCTCTTCCTCAAAAATCATTCCGAGCCCTGAGACGCCGTCAGTTCATTCCTTCCTCCTTCCGCATCATCCTGAAGCATCAAGGGTCGATCCGCCGAAGGAAAATAAATGAAAAAAATCCGGATCACAATGGCGCCCGGATGCTTTCCTCCAATCCCGAAAAGCCTCCATCGACCTTTCTCTTCCTTCAGTTAATTTTATTTATTTTTCCTTATTTGCTCTATTTTCTCCCACTGTTTTGGAGAAAACGTGATGCTCCTTGCAGTCTTGAGAAAGAGGAGAGATAGAGACGGGTATTTCCGCAGCATTCGTACCAATCGGACTTTCTCCAGAGCGAGACTCTGAAAATTTCACTGTAGTGTTTTTGGAGGTGCCATTATTGGTCTCCTCCAGGCATAGCGTTGGAAGGATTTTTTCTTTTTCTCTTGCGATCCCTGATGATGGGATAAGAAAGGTGAAAGGGTCAGGGTTAATTAATTACCACTCTACGAGCCAAGTTTAGAGTCACGTCTGACCCTACGTTCAGTTGAACTACTTCAAAGGAATATAAATATCTTTTCGATTATCCTTTCCATTGACATCAAATGTATTATTTTTAGGTGTAAATGTGGTTGAATGCGTTGTCTTTATGCAAGTAACAAATTATTTTTTCAATTGGTGAATGAGTTGATGTTGCTGGGTCCGATAAATTACATTTGTAAACTCGCTTTGCTCGATTCAAACGCGGTTTTTGGGCAACAAACTGAAGGCGTTTATCCTTTCCATTGATGATGAATGGATTATTATTTTCTTCATTTCTGTTGGTGGAAACTTGGAATCACTGTTTTTTCTTTGAATATGGGCGGGATATGAATATTTTGGTCGAAAAATGTTTTTCATCTAAGAATATCAACTCATCAATTATCTGATGACAAAAAAACGAAACCCAAAACTCCTTTGGCAAATTTTAATCTGCCAAACGTCTTCGTTGAGTACCGAATTCAGCCTTCGACCTAATTTTCAATCCCCGGCGAAATCGGCTCAAGACACACTCGATTATGCAAGTGTTCATGCATATATCCATCGCTTTTCATTTCACGAAAGTGTACATGACACTCGCCTGTTTGTCAGCTTTTGAGGGAGACTGAGAGGCTGAGATTGAAGCTGGGAGGCAAAACGTAGAGAACACTCGATTATCGATGAGCTCAGCCGCTAACCTCTATTCAACACGCTACAGAGACATGCGCAAAGTTCCAATGCTCTCACTTCCACTTTATCCTCGACTGATACGGATTCCAGGCCGAAGGACTTCGATATTCTACTCCTTATTTACAGAGAGATCGCAAGTTGTATTCATTTTTGAAGTGTTTACTCGAGAACGGAGAAGTGATAGGGGAGCGAGAGTCGTTTCATTGAAAAACCAGGGAAATTTCCGCAGAAAAACAATATATGACGATCTTTTTCACTTACAAACTTGAAAAGATACAGCCGGAAGAAATATTCAACGCAAAACTTTCACGATTTGTATCTCGAAAGTTGTAGAATAGTCAGACGGTATTTTCCAGTTGAAATTTCTTTGGTTTTCCACTGAGACCATTTGAAGTTTTCGATCAGTTCAGGGACTAATTCAGAGGAAGTGGCGAAAGGGAGAATCAGCCACTTTGCTACGAAGTTTTTTATCAGATTTTTCAACTCCACTGCACTGTTAAAAGAATACTCCTTTAATTTTATCTAAAAATCTTGAAATAGCAATAAAATAGTGTCTTGGGACTGGGGATGGGGATTCTCACGATATCGGAAATGCTCTCCTCTAACCGGCAATTCGATTCCAATCGAATTTAGCCAATCACTCCCAAAAATTCGAGGCTCGCTACGTAATTAAATCCAACAAATGTCCACAAACAAAAATGAAAAAAAAATATAAATGAATAATTTTGAATTTGTTTTCAGTAGGCTCACCGTAAAATCGGCCAGACGGCCGTTGATTCGTTCAATCGAGCCAGAGGGCGATACAATCGTTGTTGTTGGCTGGGTGGATCAACGCGTTTGCGGTGTAGAAGAGATCATTCTCGATCGTACTCAAGCGCTCTCCGATAACGGTAGCGGTGGCTGCCCACCGGAAGTTGTCATAGCAGGCGTAGTGGTGTTGGTTGTGGGGACCGGAAGTGGCTGTAGGGCCTGCATGTCGCAGGTGTGGGAACCGCGCTTCTTAAGGTCCTGGAACAATTTTCATTTCGCAAATTTTTCAATTTGTTTTTGCTGTTTTTCTCATTTTCTCTTTGTGGAACTCTTTCTTTCGTTCAATTCAACTCAATTCTGTTAGTATAACTCATTCGTTCTTTCATTCGATCGCTTCCTCTCCCCCTCATCTCATCTCTCTCGTTATTTTTCTTTACTTTGTTATTTCTCTTCCTTCCCATTTTTCACTCTGACCTGAGGCGAAATTAGGAGAACAAAATGGAGGGAAACTTCAGCTTTTCTTGGATGTTTTTGGAGAGGAGAGGCAATACGTGAAGGTGAAAGACAATTTCCTTAATTATTTTTTATGTTTTTGATGTCGGTGGAAATGATAAAAATCTCAGGAAAGTGTACATGATATTTGGGAGAAAAATTATGGAGTGAAGTGATGAAAGAATTGACTACCTCCATTTTGAGAAACCACAGAATTCTCAGAGGATTAAGAAGTACGTTATACTTGTGAGGAATTTCGGAAGGTACTAAAGACACCAAATTTGATTCATCTGGTGTTAGGTTCATTAAAAAACGATAATCAGAATTTTAAGGACTTGAACCGCTTTATTTTGTGGATATGCATCTCCGAAAATTAAAAAAAACAAGATTTCTCAGGTTTCAGCGATGCATTTCTGAAAAATTGAGTAGACAGAATTCTTGGAATTTCGGTCGTATGTTTTTTATGAACCCAACAATGGATTATTGAAATGTGAGTCTTTAGCACATTGCGAAATTTCTAAGAGTTATGGAGTACTAAGGAGATTCCTTAAGGGAAGACCCCGGTGAAATTTCAACATTTTTCTTAGAGTTAGGAATCTATTGAGCCACTTTTAATGATGAGATGTTAAAAAGTGGAAAAATTAGATGAATAGAAAACGAAGTTTTTCTGTTTTATTTTCAAAATCGACCAAATGCCTCAATCTTCATCCGATTGACATTTTTCAAAAATATTTGTTAAACTTCAAAGAAAAAAATAGTATATTGTGTTACTAGTTTGTAAAGTTCCTCTTTTTCACATGTGTAACATATCCTATTTTTTGGTGGTACCTGCCGAGTTCACTGTTCGGAACAGTAATGGAGGTAATGTGGTTGTTTTTGTGCACGAGTGCGTAAAGTTCAAGAGCGTGCGTAACGTGAGCGAAGCTTTACGCACGAAAAGTCACTTCACGCACGCTCGTGAACTTTACGCACACCATGCGAAAAACAACCGCTTTACGCACACAAAACCGTTTCGAAAGTGCACTTTTCAGGCAGGAATCACAAAAACCCGTTTTAATCACTTGTGCGTAAAGTAAAATTTGTGTGCAAAATCCCACTTACTCCAACGAAGATTGAGGTTTCAGCGCGATCTCCCCTTAAGGTGCTTCGTGCAAAAAAGGTAAATAATGACTTTCATCTGAAATTCATATAGAATTTTTATAATCACAATTGAATTATCTATGAATTTTCTTAGAATTTTTTTAGATTTCCTTGTTAAGTTATTAACGATTGAAGTCGCTTCTTATACATAGGCTCTTATGGAGATTTTTCTGTTTAGCATGACACTGCTAGGGGAGGGTGGGGCAAAACGGCCCCCCTTCAATCGTCAATATTTTCCGATTCAATAATCCGATTGGGATGAGTTAGAGCTTGTTTTGAAGAATGAAAAATTATCTTCAAAATGAAGTTGGAACTGGAAATTTTCACAATGTCATTCACAAGTTATTGACAATTAAAGGGGGGCCGTTTTGCCCCACCCTCCCCTAGCAGTGTCATGCTAAACAGAAGAATCTCCATAAGAGCCCATGTATAAGAAGCGACTTCGATCGTTAATAACTTGAAAAGTAAATCTGAAAATTTTTTATGAAAATTCATAGATAATTCAATTGTGATTATAAATATTTTATATGAAGTCCAGATGAATGTCATTATTTACCTTTTTCGCAGGAAACACCTGAAGTGATTAAAGAAAAGATACCGAAAGACGTTTATCTATATTTGATTTTTCCTGCTCTAAAAATTCTTCTGATTTTTTCCTAAATCTCTTCGTTGTTTAGAAATCTTCAAAATTATGTCGTCGCCGTATAACCAAAGGCACGTATGTGGTGTATAAACATAGCTGTTACGCCCCTTTGACTCTACGACGACGATATACAAATCCGTTTCTTCCTGCAGCTAAAAAATTATTAATATCACAAGTGTCTCTAGTAGATTTAAAGAAAAATTTCAAAAGGTCGTTTTCCTCAACAGATGAAATAATAAGAAAAGTTATCTGACTTCTCCCAATTTCATGAACAACGGAGATAAATGTGTAACTAAAAAAATGGTATGAGTCGACTCTTTTTTATTTTATCACTCCACCGTTGAATCTCTTTGGATGAATAGAAAATCAATTTGCGATCAAGATTACCAGGACAAATTATTTTCTACACCCAAACGATTTTTCTTCTCAATGATAGGAGAAAAAAGGAGAGAGGAGCAATTGATCCTTCATTGACTCGAAAATAATCGTGCACACACCATTCGCTCACTTATGCATGAGAAATATAAATTCATTAATCATAACCAATGGAGAAAGGATATTAAAACAGTGAGAATCGTACAGAAAGAAATTGTGGAAGAAGTTGAGTGAGTAAATTCGGGGTGAAGTGGTTAAATTATCAATCGATTTTCCATGACTTTTTGAAGATTGATTATTTTTGATAAGCCGAGATTTTTGGAAGGTTTCTAAATCCATTGGTTTTACAGACATCAACAAAATAATCATTCATTTCCAGAACAAAATTGTAAATTATTTTGAAAACCTCTCCAAAATAAAAACAGCTCAGAGCAAAATGTATTGAAATGTCTCTTGTAAAGGACGATTGAATAAAAAATATATATTTTTACAATTTTTCCTACTATGAGAAAAAAATTACTATTGCAAAGGCACTATTTTCTTGAGAGAAGAATTAATTTTTTTAAGAGCTTATTTCTCCAGGCCAGTCATTCCCAGGTGATCCAAGTCCATCTCCAAATATTACAATTATCTTGAATTATGAGATGATTATGCTGCATATGATCTTGAACGAACTCCATTGACAATCATTAACATTTAGAATTATTCCAAATTATTTTACATAAGAAAATCTCAAATTTGAAAAAAATTGAAAAATAATTAAGGGTATTCTCAAGGTCATATATAGCATAATGATCTCACAATTCAACATAATTTTAATATTTGGAGATGTTCTGGAGAAATACGCTCTAAAAAAAATAAATCCATCTCCCAAGAAAATGATTCCTTGACAGAAGTATTTTTTTTTCTCAGTATAAGCCCACTCATTTTCCAAGTGTACGCAAAACAATTATTCAACCCCAAAAAATGAACACTGCAGATTATGTTACAAATATCCCTAAAAAAATTCAAAGAAAAAATTAGACCTTTATCATAGCCCACAATAACCAAAATCATCAAGTCAATTTTTTCGCCTTAAAATTTTTCCACTTCACAAGAGAATCCACTGGTTGCATCAATCAAATAAATTACAGGATGCAGTGCACTTGTGCATTAATGATCCAACGAAAAACTCAACCCAACTAATATAATTGAATCAACGTGAATAAATATTATACCAGTAAATATTCATTAATAAAATATTCAAATAGCTTGTGAGATGTGATTTAAACAGTAAACATTGAAAACTACGAGTCTACAGGGGAAAGACAACAACAACTACTGAACAACCGGACTAAGAGGGGTGGAGAGCTGAGGGTTCAACTATAATAATGCCTTTTGGCTCTGGCACATGAAGGTTTGTGTATACCTGCTGTGTATACGACGCTGCGGCTATTTAAATATTTACAAATGTACTGTGCAGTGCAATGCAAACGTGACTCTGTGCAACTCGAGCGTCATTCGACTTTTGGAATAAACAGTAGCGAAGTAAATGGAGAAAGAGAGAAGAGGGTGGAATGAGGGGATGGAAATATGAAAATAAAAAGTTGAGAAAAAGAGCGTGCAATTCTCCCTATTCTTTGCGAACGATTCTCGAGCACATTGACAATGAGGTCTCACGTAATTTTCAATTCTTTTTTTCTTTTTTTCATTATTTCTTCACTCCTCTCGTTCTCATTGTCCGTTGCAATTGCCTTCGTTAGACCTCATTCGCAGCTGTCACAGTTGATATTTCAGCGATGAATATTTCAGCAATGAATCGAGTGAATTTTCCAAAGGCCAAATCAATAAATTCGGGATTAATTCCACTTTTGTTTCGGGAATTATCGAATCCTTCGTTTCAGTGAGTTCTATTTTTTTATTTTATTGAGCTGGTGTGACGAATGAGTGGAGGGATGATTTCCTCCGCTCTTCTGAGGTTCTTGATTAATTTTTGTGATGAATTGGGGTGGGAGGGGAGAGTTTCCACTTTAATTGTTGAGTTTTTCAATGGATTTCGGGGGAGAGAGTGGAGGGTTGGATTGAGAGTTATGTGATTGTGGAGCGAGGGAAATTTCCCCGGGAAAACATCTGATGACCTATTTATGCACTCGAGGTATCGAGATACAGGAGTGGGTTTTAACTGTGAAAAATGGTGGGGCTGTGAGTGATGGAGCAAAAATGATCGTCATGCTGCGTTTTTCAGGAGATGGCTTGTCGACTTTTCAATGAGACACTCAACTCCCCATTTCTCCACTGTAGCTTTCTGAGATGTTTTGAGAATTAACAATCCTGCAGTGAAGTTGTGGAATCTAATAGAACAAAACTAGAGGATTCTTTGTATTTTTAAATTCAAAATTATATGGATGACGCACAATTTTAGCGAGGAATATCACGGACATTTTTATGCCAATTTTATTTTTCCACAAGATAGATTTTTTTATTTTTTGCTGTAATCTTTCCTTTTTCTGAGTGTTTAGGAAAAAAAACATTTTTTTTGTCTGTTCACTTGACTTAGTGAATGTCTCAGAATCTGACCGGTTTGAAAAAAAAAAACAAAAAATACTTGTCTTGTGTAAATTCGTAATCTGATATTTTCACGTAAATCTCTTCCTTTTTAAAATATCCTTGCAAAAATATCCCAATTGGGTTTTTTTTCTTGACTTGAATGATCAAATCTTGGAGGGAAAAATCAGAGAACTTTTTTAATAAATAATTGAACTATTAATAAATAATGTCTTCTGGAATTTTCTCCGATACCAAGTATTTTCGAATTAAATGATAATGCTGACTTCACCACAAGATGAAACCTGATCACATCATTTCCAATAAAATTGTGTCTTCAAGTGATGAATAATAAAAACGCGCTACACTGTTAGAATTTTTTAGCTGGAATTTCCGGTGCTCTTTTTGGAAATTTTGAGCAAATGACAGTTCCACTCAAATTTCAAGTTATTTCGTTGTTGAAAAATTAACAAAATCGACATAATTACGGAAAAATAATTTCTTGAGTGAAAAACATGCATACGTATTCGATATATGTTCGGCGCAAAAAATGAATTCAATCGTTCCATGAAAATTAACAAAGATCAGGAAAATTTAGGTGATTACATTCTTGAATTGTCAATTAACGGATAATTCAGAGTAATTTGGTACTAGTAATGCTGCGAGAGACTTCACGAGACTGCACTTTGGAGAAATGGTCTCAGACTCAATGAACACGGAAGTCTTTGGTTTCGTCTCAGTCTTGAAAGAAACTGTATCATTTCCTCTTATTATGACTTGGAGAAAATTCATCCCACCTCGGTCTCAACTGAGGTTAAAAAACTATGAAATGAATCAATTCAATTTTACTTAGTTTGCAAAATTGCTTTCTTGTCATCAAGAAATTGTCCTCGTCTTTAGGACAAGTACAAAATTCCATTCCACTCCAAAGTATTGTTTCGTAATGACTCATGAAGTCTCTCGTGGCATTACTATTTACTACTGAATATTCCTGCTTTAATTAAAAATCCGCATAAGTTAAGGAATCCTCGTCTTCTTGCTGCTCAAAAATTTTGAATTCCCTTGAATTTTCAATGAATTTCGTAATTTTATGTTTTTTTCTAACAGTGTAGCTCTATCTGTTTATCCAGTGCACGAAAACCAAAAGAGTGGTTTCCTCCACCCCTCAGAAACTTGCGTGACCATCACAACTTCAAATGAATCCAAACAAAAAATAGAAAATGCAGAGAGAAATACAAAGCGAAAGAGAATATAATATAGCATTCACCAGCCCGAACATCCCTCCCCGTCACCCACTCCCCAAAATTCTTCATCCTTCATGTACCACGTGTTACGTAGACCAGATAATCATCCCCTCATCATGCGTGAAGATGATCCCATCGATAAAATACCTCAAACATCTCCCAATGTTCCTCAAAAGTGAGTGAAAAAAAGAAATCAAGTTAAAGCACTAAAGCGTGCGTTCAGCCTCCAAAGCCATGTGACCAAAACATAATTTTCCAAATCAAGTGGAAAAAGCCAATGCAAGCACAACGAACGTCATCACCTCATCCTCGAAGAAGTGTCATATCAACAATTAAACAAAACGTTCATCAGTGACACGTGTTTTTGCTGCTCGAAACATTTTTTTTCACATTGTATTAATCAATTGTGTTAATTAACTCGTCTCGTTTTCCAACGGTTCTTTACCTTTTTTCGCACTTGTATGCGATCACCGTATACTAGCACCACTCTATCCTTGCTCTCGTTCGATGTTAGCTGATACGAAAGGCTCTAAACGTGTTTCATTGGCACGTGTATTTTTTTATTCCCAATCAATTGAATTATTCATTCAGTCGCGACAGCCATCGTTCAATTTTTCAATGGAGTTTCATCCATTTTTTAAAATGTTCTCCAGGTGGCGTCATGGCGAGTCAATTGCACAGGTGTCCATTGGATAATTTGGTCAATTATAACGTGTTTTGTTGAGACAGAACGGAATGGAGAGACACTCGGATGGAGGAAGAGCGTGAGAAACGATGGTTGCAGAGTTGATGATGTAAATTAATGGAATACGAAATGAAATGGTCCAGGGTTGACGCCCCGATGACGTGGGTTTCCAGGCGGCGGTGGAGACGGTGAACAGCAGGATGATAGTTGGATGATGATGGCGAGACGTTCAGACACATCATGGATGGCACGGAAATAGGGAAATAGAAGAATTTGATTGATTTATGATGGTTTTTCGTGGTTTACACATTTTTTTTCTTTTTCTAGGTTTTTTTTTTCAAGTTTTGCATCTAGATTTTTTGGGTGGCAAGTGGCTGCATGGAATCCCATGCAATCTTCGTCCACTTGAACTCAATTTTTGTCGGTTTTTTAGTCTTATTCGTGTGGAATCGATTCCTTTGACTTTTTTGGCGATTTCTTAAATTTTGAGTTTTTTTTCGTTTCTTTAGTTTATGCGAGAGGGAATGTCTCAGAACGAGGCCTCGACGAGGTATGTCCCGTCCATTGCGACACCCGTCTGTCCGCCCTGGCCAGTTGAGGCCTCAGCAACTGTTGCTGGGATGTACTGCTGAAATCCACACCACAAACAACACACTACATTGTTGCACGCCAGTCACGCCTAAACTAACGATTTCCGAGTTCATTGAGATCTACGGGGGTTTTCTAGGTTGTTTTACGGTTGGGGTTTTTATACCGGATAACGGCCTATATGAAAAATATCTAAACACTCTTTACTATCGTGGAATTTCTAAGGGGAAAATATTCAGAGGACAGATATGCTAGGGGAGCTGGTGCCTGTACCGCCCACCGGGTAATACCGCCCACCCATATTTCTCAGGATTGGCGGAGAAAATTTTTTTTCTCTCTTTTTATTATGTGAATATTTGATAACAGCAAGTAATTTCAACAGAAATTTTCAATTTTCTTCCGTGGAAACACCGTTAAAAAAAATCCAAATCATTTCCTACCGAATTCTAAAAATATTTCGACCCGAGAATTTAAGATTTGTCAAATTTTTAGTTGATCCATGATGGAATGTGAAATGGAGTGCGAAATGTATATTCGTTATACATTTTCACATCCACTGTGCCTTTTCGATAGCAGAAAAATATCTTTATCAGTTATTATTGGCAATTTTATCGGCCTTCGCATTTGTAGGTGATTCCGTCCAGAGTTTGGGAGTAATGCCGCCCAGGGTTTCTATAGGGCTGCCAGATTCTGCAGCTAGAGGGCGATCGAGTGACAGCTCGATTGTTTAACGTAGTCGGTGGCCACTAGAACATTGGGTAAGTTCAGGATAACTTATTATTCACGTGAAATAAAAAAAAATGAAGTGTAAATTTTTCTTAAATTGGTGCCAAAGAATGGAAACGAAGGATGAAAATAGGAAAAATTATTACAGACCGACTATTATATAATAATTAGTCGGTCTGTATTGCTCAAAAAATTCATCAAAATAAGGTGGCGGTATGGGACGCATGCCGGGCGGTATTACCCTCAAAGTTCGATTCCATCATTCACTGGTCAATGGAAATTGAATTACATAATTAAATATGTTTAATATTAATAAAAAATCCGTCCTCTTCACATCTTCGAGTAAATACCTCGAAGAACGCATTCTAACTGTTTATGATTCCTTGTAGAGTGCGAGGCTGGAAAAAAGACTCACTTCCCTTAGGTGGGCGGTACATGCACCCGCTCCCCTAGTAATTTCATTTAGTCGTGTTTTATACTGCGCCTTATGCATCAAAAAATCCACTTTTCGATTCGTGAATCGATACTGGGGATTGGGTAAAGAGGATTTTCTTTATTCCGTTATTGACGAGATCAGAGGGGATGAATTTTTTCCGGTCATGAATCGATTGAGATGAAATTGTCGGGCATTTTTTGCAACTTTTTGCATAAAATTACTAGGTCAGGGGATAACAGATTAATCAGAGAAGTGTAATATTGGGGTTAAATCATTCTACTACTCGTCAGTTATTGAATTGTAGTGATGATGAGTTGTCCTAGCTGAAATTATCGGAAAACATATTTTGAGGCTATTTCCTCAGCTGCAGAAAATATCTTTAGATAGGTACCACAGAGAAAAAAGTTTGATAAGGTTATCATTACGTGAGTTATATTGATCAAATTTTATCATTTTCAATTTTTTTTGCTTTTATACAAGTCATTTTCAAAAAATCACAACCCCCTCAATTATCCATATTTTTCAATTTTTCTTTTTTCAAAATATTTGTCTAATCGCCATCTTCTCAGAAAAATATTGAGACAAAAATCCCCAGCATCCACTTTTCTGATCTGCCGATTTGGCGTGGATCTGCTCATATGCGGAATTTTATTGTATTATTAACTTTAAATTTGAAACTTTATGATTACTTTCCTAGTTTAAATCTAAATCAATGTCGCCCCCCTCCCCTGTGAAGTACTACTGAACCATCCTTCAAATTTCAATTTTGTTCCAACAGTGTTAAAAATAAATCCTGATTCATTCCAATGATGTCACCTATTAGCGATTGAAGACGGTCAGTTTCACCTCATGTTTTCCTAATGGATCAATTATTCCGATAATGACAAGCAGTCATAGATTTTTTTTCAGAAAATTCTATTACATAAACAGAATTCTCCTAACATTTTTCCATGAAACTCATTGTTCTCTGAATACCGAATGAATTAACAAATTCATAACTACAATACGCATTTATTTTTTGTAAAAATTACCTGAATGGGAAAGATATCAATATATAACAGCAGATGAAGAACATATATATACATAAAACATGGTTTCAAACCATTTTACGTCCGCAGATAAATGAATTCACCCAAAACCAGAATAAAGTGGATTTTTTAATAAGTTATGAGATTATCTAATATTGATGATACTACGTTTTCCTCAAGAGCCTACGCAATAAATCTTTCATGAATTCCCTTCGAAAATACCTGAGGATAAACTCAGTCTTCACGTCGTCTTGCACTCGTTACAATAATTCAAGGAGAAAATGTGATTCAATATTTTTTTTTCTTCCCTTTTTTCCACTTCATTAGGAACGATTACGTAAATTATCCATTAAAGTGGACAAAACTGTCAGGAGTTGGATGGGCGGGTGAAGTTCCAACGGATGGAAACTACCGGAGGAAATTAATTATTTTGCGGCGGGGTGAGTTAACAGGGGAATCTCGTTTCGTTTCGTCCAACTGGAACGATCAGTGTAATTAGTTTCACTCGGTTACATGTTTGCCTGATGTTACGAAAATTTTTAGGGGATTCTAATGGTTCAACTTTTGGAACTTAAGCAATATTGGGGGAGGGTCGATCAGGACTTTTAGAAAATTGCGATAATACTATACATAATGTATTCAATAATTCAGCTGTGGGGGGGGGAGGTGAAACATAACAGAACAGAACAAAATAAATCAATTTTTCACATCTTGTTGCATACGAAATTACTCCAGTAAAGAGGGATTTTAGGAGAAAATTTTAAAGGACTTCATTTGTTGGCGATTGTCTCAACTTCTCAAAAAGTTTTTTGATATTTTTAAATTAAATCACTTTAGTTTTAGATAAAATCCGGGAGTGAGAATTCATGACCTTTTATTACTCGACGACAGAATTATCACATAAAGGAAATGGAAATAAATATCGAGTCAGAAATATCGAGCTCGTTAAAAAATATATGAATCGTTGCGTAAAGAATTTTGAAATTGTTGATTTTAATTTTTTTTCCGTTCCGGCGGGCGCAAAGTTACATTTCCCTCCCGCTTCGCGGGAGGGAACTCTGACTTTGCGCCTATACGCCGAGACGGAAAATCGCGTTCTAACCACGGGAAGTAAAATAAAGGACCCTCAGCCGCGTGCTTACCAACCTCGCCTTCGGCTCGGCTGGTAATTGCACTGCCGGCTGAGGATCCCTTATTTTCCCTCCCTAGGTTAGAAATATACTATTCTGGTCAATTCAAGAATGAATGTTTTTGAACCAAACAATAGGATATTTCTAACCTAGGGAGGGAAAATAAAGGAAATTTCCTCGATTTTACCTTTTTTCTAATTATTTTTAACTTTGTTCTCTTCGTAAATGTGATTCATTTTGAAGTCATTTTTCTAACGCCATATTTCAACCGTAAGTAGTTTTATTACACAATTAGGCAAATCGACTAAAATCAATGGAACAGTGATTTTCAGCCCCATTGATGTCACCAACTTCCCTCCCTGAAATCCGAAGTTTCACTTGATATTTTACTCGATATTATGAGAGGTTCAGCAGTGAATGATTTAGGATTCGGGGGGAGATTCAACGACACGAAAATCGAAAATAGCTCCAACGTCATGGGGGCAGACACACGTTAATGTCATTGATTTCGGTCCAATCGCAAGGGTGGCAGGTCTCCCAAGATTCATACCCTCGTTGCATGAAATATTCACGGCTACATGACACGATTCCATGTGGAACATTTCAAAGTTTTGCGATGGATCATTTTTAAGCGAGGGGTGACAGTGAAAAATTCTCACGCACGGTGATTTAAAATTCCTCTTGATTTTGGTTGTTCGTTTTGGTTGTTGTTCGATTGCATGTGTGAGTTATGGGAATCGGAAAAATATCCATCGTTCGACAAATTTTGTTTTTTTTTTGTAGCAATCAATAAAGTGATTTTTCTGTTCCCAATAATTGAGAACATTTTTTACTTTAATTTTGAATTCTCTGAGATTGATTATTCCAATTTTGCGTGTTACAAGAAAAATATCTCCAAATGTTTAAAATAAAGATTTTCTTTGTAGATTGTAATTT